TGTGCAAACGCGGATCTGATGAGAAACCGTACCTTGCAAGTTGGCCTCTGAACGGCTCAAACAGAGAAACCATCGATGGCGGTGCTTTCACATGAGCAACCTTGTATAGAAGACCAAGCATTGCAATGTCACGCCGCAACCCCAGTGGGCCCAGATTGTGTTCAAGTAGTGCTTCCTTGGGTGTCAAGCAAGCCCACGCCTTCCAGAAATGTGTCTTGCAGCCCGTCGAGATGGCGGAGAGTGGCTTCAGCAGCATGGTATATTGCCGGGGTAGCGCCCTCAATGTACGACAGCACGTGGCACTTGTACAATCGAACCAGCTCAGCAGTGGGAGTAAAACCGCTTTGTTCGAAGTAGCGTCTGGAGCCTCCAGGAGCCTTCTGCCACGAAGTGGGACACCGCCTTGTACATACTCAATATGGTGTCGAACAGCACGCCGAGCATCTTGAACGTTTCGCCGTCTGGCGAGATGGTGTCCAAAATATGGAAGCTTTCCTTGTCCGGCTCGAAGAGGACCTGGTTGGCAGCCCCCCACCTGTGGAGAGCTGCCTGGCATGCGGCCGAATCGCGGTTGATGCCTGCATTGCCACACACTCCGGGGTAAGTGCGCCAGCAATTGAGGGCCCGAAACTGGGGCCCGACATTTTTCGAACGTGCCCATGTGTGAACCGATTTGATCGACCAATTACGACTCAATTTCGGTCACACCACATTTTCGGTCACAATTTCGAGCACGGTTTCGGCAACAAGCCTTTTCGGCTGATAGGGGCCGGTCGCCATGACAGTCCAGTCGCACCCGCCGAAGAACAAGTTCGGAGAGGGGGGCCGCTTCGGGATTCGGAGCGCACCCCAGGTCGTCCCGTCCTTGACATTACCGCACCAGCATTCGCCATGACGTTCCCTACGAAGGTCTGGCGCTTATGGGTCCACATGCAAACCGCATGCCAAGGTCAAGACGTCGCGCGCCCTCGAAACAAAGGCGGCGCACCTGCGATCCAGTGGGTGTCGTGAGGTACTGCGACGTCCTGCCGTCGAAGTTCTGGCACACGTACATGTCCCGTGCGGGAGCAAGAGGGGGATGCCTCGTGCATCGCCCAGGGTCGGCCGTTTCATTTGTTTCGAGGCTCGGCAAGAGCAACATGATTTTGGGCGCTGGAGTGGCGGGGCAAAGGATCTGAACAGGCGCGCGGCGCAGGTCTTAGATTTGCGCGGGCATGGCGCATCGAATGTCGCGGTAGCGACGGCGCGGACCAGAAGCGGTGGCGCGCGAGATGAACCCGATGTCACTAGTGACGCCCGCTGATATTGGTCGCGATGCCTGTTGCGGCGACGAGATGGGGCGCTCGTTGCGGCGAGCGCGGTGTCGCGCTCTGCGGGTAGCGCGGCGCCAAGGGACCGCAGCTGGGGGCGGCGGCGGGGCAGCGCGGCATCCTCCCAGTGATGCCACGCGGGAGGGGAAGCGATGCCCGAGTGGCCGCGGGGGCACCCTGCCCGAGCGGGCCGCAGGCGAGGCGGGGCGCCGTGGTGGTAGGAGCGCCGCGGGCGCAGCAAGACAGAATACATGGATTCAGTTTCGCTTGCATGGATCGATGTTCAGTGATGCTGATGCTGTTGTTATTTCTTTTTGTTTCGCTTACATGTGTTCAATGTTGGCCACATGTAGTCAGTGGGGGGCTACATGCATTCAGTTTCCGCTACATGTATCCACGTTGTCTTCTGGGAGGCACAGGAGCGCCCTCGTGGCCCGCAGGCGACGTGGCCTGCGATTGCTATGCCGCCGCAATGTCTCTTGCATTGGATCAACGGGCAGATCTCACAAGGCTCTGCCGCCCTTTTCAAGGACTCCCGACGCCGAAATCTCCCGCACGACTCGCCACTCCGCGCGCCGCAATGCGCGCCCACATCCCTTTGCCGCTACTGGCATTCTGGCCAGAAGGGGTAGACATTGACTGTGGGAATCGAGCTCTCGCCGCGAGCCGCTGGACCTGGTTAGAAGCGATGCTACCGCAACACTCGGTGCGCCATCTCCGCGCACAGCCAAGACTTGCGCCGCGTGCCTACTCCCCACCCTTGCGCCCGAAACAAGATTGCTAGTGGCGAACCCCGAAACGAGTGACGGCCACCTCTGGGGCATACACCTTTGTCGTCTTCTCCGACTTGCGGTCGCAGAGCATGACGGAAATCTGGTGCGGGCGCAGCTGCCAGGAAGCTGGAAGCATGCATGGCTGGACTCGAAGATCTGGAAGTCACGCGCTGGAGACACATGCGCAAGCCCGGCGTGTTTGGCCACAGGAGGGCCGAGCGCTGGTAAGACATCCCGCAGCATGTGCACCCAGCTCTCGCCAAGGCCGGCCGCGTCGTGTGTATCCAGCTTCCTGGTAGTTGACCGACCACAGATGACGAGCTGTGCGTCAACCTTGGCTCGGTTAGTGCAGGACGGCACGAAACTGCACGGGGGGGCACCTGCCATGGTGGCCTCTCCACATCATTCGGCACATGCAACGTTCGGGGGGAATGCTCGAGGTCGACAAGCCCACGACGATGCCAGTCTGTCTTAGGGACGTGCCCCAGAAGCTTAGGATATTCCCCAGATCAACACCAAGATAAAAAAGGGCCAATCATACGGATGGGGATCCGTTTCAGGCTGCAACCCCCGCCCCATTTCCCATCCTTGTCTTCCACCGCCTACTAATCAAATCCCGGAGAGCTGCACCCACCGCTTCAACCATCCACCTCGCCCCATTCTCCACCGCGGCCACTTCCGACTACAATTCAGAAATACTACGAGAAAGATAAAATCTTTCGCATGCCAAGGCTCGCCCACAAATATGCTGAATAGTCTTAGAAAGGAACTCACGGAAACTTCGGGTCGTCACCATGGTGCCGAATAGCGCGTCCGAGTCCGCGCAAAGCGGACATAAGCGCATCTCCCTCACATGGCGCTATTGGGCACTGTTTGAGCGGTGTTGGTCGCCATTGGGCGCCATTTGAGCGCCGCTCGGCGCTGCTGTGCGCTGTTGGGCGCCACTTGGCGATATTGAGCGCTGTGGGGCGCTGTTTGCCGAGAGACACTCAACCCAAAACGAGCGGAGGCTGCCATGATTCATTATCTAGCCTGGCCAGCTGGCTCCCCACTCCCCTCCTCCCCTACGGGCGCGGCTCGCCGAGGGCGATGGCTCCCTGGTGATGGTGCTCCGCTGCTGCGCTGGGCAGCCTCCCGAACACGAGCGCGGCCCGACGCGTCGACGGTCAACGCACTACGCACCGAGGAATGTGAACTCAAGGCCTCTGCGACGGCGCTGGTCTGGCCTCTACGACTGCTCCCGTCTGGCCCAGCATGCTGCAGTTAGGGTACAAATGCGCGCAGCGTAAGCGTAGGTAACGGCGCAACTTTATCTGCCAAAGTGGCTGCAAAACAATACTGCAGCGCAACTGCATTGGAGAGTCTGGGGCGTACCATCCGCGGCTCCCTCTGCACACCGTCAATCGTGTTATCATCAATGCTGGTGCCCAGCTCTAGTTGTGCAGCTCGGGGACAGGCTCAGGGAGAGGGGGGGGGCAGATGACCTGCAGCCGACGACATATCGACGATAGTGTGGGGGAAAGAAACTGGTGACCACGACCAAGACTGAACGCGGAAGCGTCGGTGCCGATCTTGGTCACCGTCCAGTCGTCGACTGCTGGCATAGACCACGACAAAGCTCGGCATCGACAAGGTCCCGCGGCATCTTGGTCATAGTCAGCGTGTTGCTTCCCTCAAGATAAATCGGGGAGACAGTCAACCCGAAGAATAAGGCCGCACGCAAGGGCCTTGAAGGCCAGGTCGACTCTTTGCGAGCGAGGCGCGGCCAGCGGAAGGGGCCAAAGATGGGCCGAGGGGGAAGGATGCAAAGGTAACTTTGGAAAGTCGCTCACCCTGACCATGCGGGCTGACTGTAAGCCCCCGATGGGAGACCCCAACTTCCTGGGCAAGTTGGCAAGTCGGGGCACCCGGTCCCCGATCGGCGATCCCTCGAGCGCTTCCCGCGCTCGAGGGCGCTCCCTCCCCGAAGCGGCGGAACTCGCTGGCTCCAGCCTGCAGCTCTCTGGTGCCGGGCGCGCTGCCGGGGCAGCGACAAGGTGGGACAGCAAAGGGCAGGGCAGAGACTCAGCTCACGCAGCTGGTTTTCTTGGCGCCTCCCGGCGCCGGGAGGCGCCCATGCATCGAGGACTGGACCCGGCGGCGGGCCTGAAACCAGCTGCATGTAGCAGAGTTCGTAACCTCCCCTGTCCCCATCCTGCCCGTTGGCCTGGCCCGAGCGCCGCCCTTCCCCAGCCTCGCAGGTCCCAGCGGAGAGCCGGGGGAAGAGGAGCGACGGGAGGCGGGGCAAAGGCGCCAGAGGCGCCCCCCAGCCGAAACTCGGGTGCGCCAAAGAAAGGGCCCAGGAAGAGACCTTCCTCCTCGTCCTCCTCCTCCTCCTCATCCTCCTCATCCTCCTCTTCTTCTCATAATTAGTTAGATTAAAAACATTGTTATTATTATTATTCCTCCTCCCCCTCCTCTTCTTCTTCTTCTTCTTCTGCTTCTTCTTCTTATTATTATTATTATTATTATTATTCCTCCTCCTCCTCCCTTCAGCGGCGCAGGATGGCCAGAGGCGTCTGCGCGGACGAGAGGGCGGGCGGATTCGTTTAATCATAAAGACCCACGGCGGAAGAAGCCAGCCCATAGAAGTCCAGCATGCGTCTCGGAGAAAGACCCACCTGGATCTCTGGCATCTCTGTGTGGCTTCGCCCGAAAGGCGCCCAACGCCCTCTTCACGATCTGGGATGGATCAGGGTCCTGCGTGCACAAGCGTATGCGTATGCGTATCTGTATGCGTATACGTACACGCATGCTCGTGCGTGCGCGGGAGATCTTTTATGGTCCCAGCTATGGTATCCGCACATCCCTAGTCCTCACCTCCTCAACGCCTCCGAGAAACCCGCAGGCCAAATCGAAAAGCCAACAACGCGGGGACCTGAGTTTTGGAAGCTCAGGCTGTAGAGCTTCCCCAGGAAGAGGCGCTCATCGAACAACTGCGCCCGCTTCAGGCTCTTCATACTGCCACCACTCATCGTCGCGCTGGAGCTGTACAAGTGGTAAGCTATTCGGCCAAGCGGGTTCCGAATATTTTTGCTCTCAAAGTGTGCTAGGGCCTCATCCAGCATAGGCTTCTTTGACAGCACCGTCTCGATGTCCGCGGGGGCTAGCGACTCATCACCACCGAAGCAAAACACCTTGAGGCCCTCTCTATTGGACTTCTTCTTGAAGAGGTCGCCAAGGACTCGATGTGAGATCCCCTCCCCGAGCTGAGTCCAAGGTATATGACACAATACGCCTGGGTCGTCCAAGCAGCATACCTTCTCAAGCTTCATCTCGCTCGGCTGGCAATGGTTCGTCAATGCAGCCTTCTGCGCATCCCAGACGGCTTTATGCAGGAGACTTCCCTTCTTGCCTGCCATGAAGTTTGAACTAAATGTGCCAGCGGGCTTGCACTGCTGTCCCCCAGTCGTGTAGGAAATCAGATCGTACGTGCTTACTCTAGTAATTATGTCCCCCAAGTCCTGCGTGACAATGAAATCGGCATCTATGTACATGCCGCCATTGTGAAATATCGCAGAATATCGGACCGCGTCCGACTGCGCGGCACGGTATTCCAGCCGGTAGTATTCCTTCGGCATGTCTGGGATCCACCGCGGGATGTTGCTGTCGTTCAGCAGCACGATCCCCCCGCTGCACAGGCCCCTGGCGTGCCGGTCCCACGCCTCCAGATTCGTGGTAGCGAAAGCTGGTGCCCCTTTCGGGTAGTCCCACAGGGTGAAGATGTAGCAGTCCCTGACCACCTCGTCGTCCTCGGCAGGCACAGGGGCAAGGTGACTGACTGGTCGGTGCGCCCGAGAGCGAGCCGTGACGTGCGCGCAGGAGTAAACGCTCGATGTCGGCGGTGCTCGGAGCGGCCGAGGCGAAGAACGCGACGGTGTTGAGCCCCTCTGGGGCCAAAGATCTAGCCGAATTCGGCACGCTCCCCAGGAAACGCCGACCGCACGGCATCCCCACATGTGGTGCGAATCGGTCGTAATTTCCGCCAGCATCCACATCCACGTACGGCAGTTTCGTGTCGTGGCGACCGCGGCCTTGGTTTCTGACGCCGCACGGAACGTTCAAGCTTGAACGATCCTGGCCCTCTGACAATACAGATCGGTCGATAACGGCCGATTTTCGGCCACTCTCGGCGTTCAATCTTGAAGGCCCGCGCCGGGGTCGCCGCTAAGTCGACACGACACGAACCTGCCGTACTGAAGGCAGCCGAGAAGGGGAAATTGGCTCATGGGGGAACAATGGCCTGGACTTGACTATACATCGACGATAGATCGTTGACAGGTCCCGATGGGGAAACCGAGCGTTCCTGGGCAGTTTGGGGTACCTGGGCCACGACCGGCGAGGAATGGGCATCAGGGGATCGATGATCACCCCCCTGTCGGAGCCACTGCTGTGTAACGTACCCTGGAAGTCGCTCCAACAGCCCCTCCTGCGACTGTGCTTACTCGCCTGCTCCTCTTCCTCTCCAGCCCCCCTCCTCTTCCCCTGCTTCTAGTCTTCGCGTTGGTTCGTTCACGGAGTGGGGACACAGGCAACTCTGAAGCTCCCCTCTGCTGTGCACGCTGTGCTCAAAACGAAAACTCCCGAGCCCAAGCGATGCGGAAACTACGAGTGCGCACGGCATGCATCCAAGAAACGCTGGCAGCGAACTGGTTTGAGACTTATTCGCGCATTTGTATGCCAGTATCGTGGGGGTTCAGCCTGTCCGCGCTTCAGGCTCCGCCCTCTAGGTGGATCGGGACCCCCCTCTAGTCGCCGTCATCCGTGGCCTATTGGGGTCAACTTGGAGCCATCACGGGGTTGCATTGGGATCACGGGGTCAACTTGAAGTCACATTGGGTCCATAGGACAGTATCGCGCTGCCGCGAGGCCGCTCGCTGTTCGAGGGTGTGCAGGCTTGCGCCTCGAAGCGCGCGTCATTGGTGTCCCATTTGTGTGCCTAGGGTTTTCTGCGTTCCTCCTCCTCTTCCTCTGCTCCTCTTCCTCGATCCCGACTCCGCGGCGCCCGCGCAGCGCCCCCAACCACCCCTCGCCGAAATTTGCTCTGCACTCGTTCGTCGTTCGTCGTCATGCCCCAAGCCGCCGCGTCGCCGGCGCCTTCGCAGCCCTCCCCCTGGCCGACATTTACTCTGCACTCGTTCGTCGTCGTTCGTCGTGCCTCGCGTCCGCGCCCGCCCGCGCAGCCCCCCCCCCCGGCTGCCGACATTGACGCAACACTCGTTCGTCGTTCGTCGTCGTGCTCCGTGTCCGTCATCGGCGCCTCTCCCCTCCGCTGGCCAACAGTGTTCGAGGACAGGACGCAGCAGGATTAAAAGCAGCAAACCGCGCACGCGCGTCTGAGCCCGCCCGAGCACTCAAAAACCACTTACGGTTTCGCAGTCGCCGGCAGCCATAACCATCCGGGCGCGGATGGCGGGTGGGGGCGGTGGAAGGACAAGACTACGGTGAGGTGGAATGTGCCAGAAGCCAACCGGGACTGGAAGGCAAGGGGGGCGAGAAAGCAGAGCGGAACGACAAGGAGACCAATGAGGACCTGGAAGCAGAGGCGGCGACGCGCCGCAAAAGGTCGCAGGCTGAGAAGCCGTGGACACGCACACACACTTTTTGATCCGCGGGTCGAGAGCGCAATCACACACGCACACACACATACACAAACATACACACAACACGCATACACACATACTCTGCACTCGCGCGTCGTCGTTCGTCGTGCCCCGCGTCTGTTGCCGGCGCCCGCGCCCCACCCCTCGCCCCCCTGGCCGACGTTTACTCTGCCCTCGTTCGTCGACGTTCGTCGTGCCCCGCGTCCGCCGCCTGCACTCGTTCCTCATTCGTCGTCGTACCCTGCGTCCGTCGACGGCGCCCGCGCAGCACCCCCCCACGCCCCCGCGATCGATACTTAGCCCGGGAAAATCGAACATTCCCCGGGAAAAACGAACATTCCCCGGTAGCACCGGGGAATGTACGATTCCTGCGGCGCTTCTTTTGCGAATGTTTCGAGCGGGGTCTGGCTGCAGAGTCTTCGAAAGCCAACTGGTTGGCTTACGTGTGACCATTCGGTTTCCAAAAAACATACCGGGGAATGTCTGATCTCGGTGTGCTCGCGCGTTGTAGTACTGCTATTGGAAATGGTGGTGGAAATGATAGTGGTAATGGTTGTGGTTGTGGTAGTGGACGTGGTAGTGGTAGTGGTAGCGGTAGTAGTAGTGGTAGTAGTAGTAGTAGTAGTAGTAGTAGTAGTAGTGATCGTAGTACTGGTAGTAGTAGTAGTAGTACTACTAGTAGTAGTAGTAGTAGTAGTAGTAGTAGTAGTAGTAGCAGTAGCAGTAGTAGTAGTAGTAGTAGTAGTAGTAGTAGTAGTAGTAATATTAGTCGTAGTAGTAGTAGTAGTAGTAGTAGTAGTAGTTGTAGTAGTAGTAGTAGTAGCAGTAGTAGTAGGTAGTAGTAGTAGTAGTAGTAGTAGTAGTAGTAGTAGTAGTAGTAGTAGTAGTAGTAGTAGTAGTAGTAGTAGTAGTAGTAGTAGTAGTAGTAGTAGTAGTAGTAGTAGTAGTAGTAGTAGTAGTAGTAGTAGTAGTAGTAGTAGTAGTAGTAGTAGTAGTAGTAGTAGTAGTAGTAGTAGTAGTAGTAGTAGTAGTAGTAGTAGTAGTAGAAGTAGTAGTAGTAGTAGTAGTAGTAGTAGTAGTAGTAGTAGTAGTAGTAGTAGTAGTAGTAGTAGTAGTAGTAGTAGTAGTAGTAGTAGTAGTAGTAGTAGTAGTAGTAGTAGTAGTAGCGTAGTAGTCGTAGTCGTACTAGTAGTAGTAGTAGTAGTAGTAGTAGTAGTAGTAGTGGTAGTAGTCGTAGTAGTAGTAGTAGTAGTAGTAGAAGTAGAGTAGGTAGTAGTAGTAGTAGTAGTAGTAGTAGTAGTAGTAGTAGAGTAGTAGTAGTAGTAGTAGTTAGTAGTAGTAGTAGTAGTAGTAGTAGTAGTAGTAGTAGTAGTAGTAGTAGTAGTAGTAGTAGTAGTAGTAGTAGTAGTAGTAGTAGTGGTGGTAGTAGTAGTAGTAGTAGTAGTAGTGGTAGTGGTAGTGGTAGTAATAGTAGTAATATTAGTAGTAGTAATAGCAGTAGTACCAGTAGTAGTAGTAGTAGTAGTAGTAGTAGTAGTAGTAGTAGTAGTAGTAGTAGTAGTGGTAGTAGTAGTAGTGGTACTAGAAATAGTAGTAGTAGTAGTAGTAGTAGTAGTAGTAGTAGTAGTAGTAGTAGTAGTAGTAGTTATCGTAGTAATCATCGTAATCGTAGTAGTAGTAGTAGTAGTAGTAGTAGTAGTAGTAGTAGTAGTAGTAGTAGTAGTAGTAGTAGTAGTAGTAGTCCATTCACAAGCCTTTCGGACGCCTCCCAGAAACCCATTCAGAAGCCATTCAGAAGCCTCTCAGAAGCCTCTCAGAAGCCATTCAGAAGCCTCTCACAAACCTCTCAGAAGCCTCTCAGAAACCCATTCGCAAGCCTCTCAGAAGCCTCTCAGAAACCCATTCACAAGCCTCTCGGAAGCCTCCCAGAAACCCATTCAGAAGCCTCTTAGAAGCCTCTCAGAAACCCATTCAAAAGCCTCTCGGAAGCCTTTCAGAAACCCATGCAGAAGCCATTCAGAAGCCTCTCAGAATACTCTCAGAAATCCATGCAGAAGCCTCTCAGAAGCCTCTCAGAAGCCTCGCAGAAGCATCTCATAAGCCTCGCAGAAGCCCCGCAGAAGCCTTTCAGAAACCCCTCAGAAACCCATTCACAAGCCTCTCGAAATCCTCCCAGACACCCATTCACAAGCCTCTGAGAAGCCTCCCAGAAACCCATTCACAAGCCTCTCGGAAGCCTCTCATAAGCCTCTCAGAAGCCATCCAGAAGTCACTCAGAAGCCTTTCATAAGCCTCGCAGAAACCCATTCACAAGCCTCTCAGAAGCCTCTCAGAAACCCATTCACAAGCCTCTCGGAACCCTCCCAGAAACCCCTTCAGAAGCTTCTCGGAAGCCTCCCAGAAACCCAATCAGAAGCCTCGTAGAATACTCTCAGAAACCCATTCACAAGCCTCTCGGAAGCTTCCCAGAAACCCATTCAGAAGCCTCTCGGAAGCCTCCCAGAAATCCATTAAGAAGCCTCTCGGAAGCCTCTCAGAAACCCATTCAGAAGCCTCTCAGAAGCCTCATAGAATACTCTTAGAAGCCTCTCAGAAGCCTCACAGAATACTCTCAGAAACCCAATCAGCAGCCTCTCAGAAGCCTCTCAGAAGTCTCTCCCAGATTCTACCTGGGTATCAAGCGTGTGAAGGGTTGTCCCGGGGAATGTTCGATTTTCCCGGGGAATGTTCGATTCTCACGGGGAAAGTATTTCTGTCCCACGCCCCCCCCACCCCCCCTCCCCATTTCTCCGCCACCCCCCTCCTTCTCGCAACCAGCAAACACGACGCACGCCTGGCACGTCGTCGTCGTCGTCGACGTCGTCGTCGTCGTCGTCGTCGTGGTTGACATGGTCGTCTTCGTCGGTGATCGTGCCCCGCGTGCGCACACGCCCTCGCACCCCCCGCCATCGCGCGAACGCAAACACCTGGCGCGTTCCGCGCGAAACGCGCCGAGTCCCCACGAAACACTTGGCGCGCTCCGCGCGAAACCCCGCGCTCCGGGATTCTGGGGGCGGGACCGAAAGACCTGGCGCGTTTCGCGCAGAACCCCGAGCTCCGGGATTTGAGGGCGAAGCCTAAAAAGACTCGGCGCGTTCCGCGCGAGACCCCGCGCTCCAGGATTTGGGGGCGGGGCCGAAAGACCTGGCGCGTTCCACGCGAGACCCCGCGCTCGCATGAGTGTGGCCTCACACCCCCGGGAGCGCGGGATTTCGCGCGAAACGCGCTGAGTCTTTGAACCCTTGGCGTGACGACAGATCCCTTGCACGGCGCCAGTCCCCAAGTGGAGCAATGTTGGCGGAGAGAATGTGTACCAGCGTGGACCCCAAACCAGAAGTGATTAGACTATGGATCTGCAAGCTATGTGGTGCAATTTCTTCGGTGCAAGCATTCTGACCTAATCTCCGTGGTCTCTGCTACGCGATGCAAGCTGCACGACGCAACAGATGAGGCGCAAGCGATGCAGCCTAAACTTTGTGATGCAAGCTACGTGTTGTAAGCTATGTGGTGCAAGCTACGAGGTGAACGCTACGTGGTGTTAGGTACTCGGTGTAATACATGTGGTGTAATGCACGTACGTGGGTAAAGTTAAGATGTGCTATCTATGTGGAGTAAGACCTGTGGCATGATATGTAAACTAGGCTATCTTCATTACATTGTGGTGAGAGATATGTGGCGCAAACTACGCGGTGCATCGCACGCTGAGCAAACCATATGGCGCTGGCCCCAGAGTGTATGGCGGCATTCCCCTCTCCAACACTCGAAGATCGGGATTTTTGAAAACAACCCGCCCTCAATCCGTGAAGCTCCTGCAATGTTTAAGACGAATGTGCGCGGCGCCAAGACGAATGTGCCAGAAGCCAACCGGGACTGGAAGGCAAGGGGGGCGAGAAAGCAGAGCGGAACGACAAGGAGACCAATGAGGACCTGGAAGCAGAGGCGGCGACGCGCCGCAAAAGGTCGCAGGCTGAGAAGCCGTGGACACGCACACACACTTTTTGATCCGCGGGTCGAGAGCGCAATCACACACGCACACACACACACATACACAAACATACACACAACACGCATACACACATACTCTGCACTCGCGCGTCGTCGTTCGTCGTGCCCCGCGTCTGTTGCCGGCGCCCGCGCCCCACCCCTCTCCTCCCTGGCCGACGTTTACTCTGCCCTCGTTCGTCGACGTTCGTCGTGCCCCGCGTCCGCCGCCTGCACTCGTTCCTCATTCGTCGTCGTACCCTGCGTCCGTCGACGGCGCCCGCGCAGCACCCCCCCACGCCCCCCCCACCCCCCCTCCCCATTCCTCCGCCACCCCCCTCCTTCTCGCAACCAGCAAACACGACGCACGCCTGGCACGTCGTCGTCGTCGTCGACGTCGTCGTCGTCGTCGTCGTGGTTGACATGGTCGTCTTCGTCGGTGATCGTGCCCCGCGTGCGCACACGCCCTCGCACCCCCCGCCATCGCGCGAACGCAAACACCTGGCGCGTTCCGCGCGAAACGCGCCGAGTCCCCACGAAACACTTGGCGCGCTCCGCGCGAAACCCCGCGCTCCGGGATTCTGGGGGCGGGACCGAAAGACCTGGCGCGTTTCGCGCAGAACCCCGAGCTCCGGGATTTGAGGGCGAAGCCTAAAAAGACTCGGCGCGTTCCGCGCGAGACCCCGCGCTCCAGGATTTGGGGGCGGGGCCGAAAGACCTGGCGCGTTCCACGCGAGACCCCGCGCTCGCATGAGTGTGGCCTCACACCCCCGGGAGCGCGGGATTTCGCGCGAAACGCGCTGAGTCTTTGAACCCTTGGCGTGACGACAGATCCCTTGCACGGCGCCAGTCCCCAAGTGGAGCAATGTTGGCGGAGAGAATGTGTACCAGCGTGGACCCCAAACCAGAAGTGATTAGACTATGGATCTGCAAGCTATGTGGTGCAATTTCTTCGGTGCAAGCATTCTGACCTAATCTCCGTGGTCTCTGCTACGCGATGCAAGCTGCACGACGCAACAGATGAGGCGCAAGCGATGCAGCCTAAACTTTGTGATGCACGCTACGTGTTGCAAGCTATGTGGTGCAAGCTACGAGGTGAACGCTACGTGGTGTTAGGTACTCGGTGTAATACATGTGGTGTAATGCACGTACGTGGGTAAAGTTAAGATGTGCTATCTATGTGGAGTAAGACCTGTGGCATGATATGTAAACTAGGCTATCTTCATTACATTGTGGTGAGAGATATGTGGCGCAAACTACGCGGTGCATCGCACGCTGAACAAACCATATGGCGCTGGCCCCAGAGTGTATGGCGGCATTCCCCTCTCCAACACTCGAAGATCGGGATTTTTGAAAACAACCCGCCCTCAATCCGTGAAGCTCCTGCAATGTTTAAGACGAATGTGCGCGGCGCTAAGTCGAGAGCCACATGTTGAAAAGCACCCGCCCTAATCCAAACTCTTGCAAATGTGTAAAAACGAATGCGCGCGGCGCTTAGGCGAGAGCCACATTTTGAAACCCACCCACCCTCTAGTTATGACGCTGTTGCCAATGTTTAAGTTTCAGGGTCAAAGTTTGTGAAGACGTCTCGGGCGAAACTCCTGGCACGCCCTTCCGACCGACCTTGGGGGGCGACAGGGAGAAGCTAGTAATCAGGAAAAGGAATGGAGGACGGAGGACGAGGAGGGACGGCGACGACGACGACGACGGCGACGACGGCGATGACGGCGAGCGCCTCTCCTCGGTTCTCGTGTCGCGGGCGTCCGCGACGGCGCCCGCCGCGGTGACCCGCGGGTCCGCTCTGGGGCTGGGCGCACGGACTGTTGGCGGCACCGCGGCTGCCGAGGAGGGCTCCTGGTGGGCGGGGGAGGATGGCGAGGTGCGGAAGGAGAGAAGGGCAGGGGTGGACCCTGAGATCCCCGCGTTCAAGCTGTTTCGAAACGGGCGCTGTTGTCGAATTGCAGCCCCAAGAATCCTCGCAGAAAGATGGGATCCGGGCCTCCAGTTGCATTTTCTGCGATGTAGCAATTGTTCTGCAACGTCGGATCTCAGAGGAGGGGAGGGGGAGGAGGCGCGGTGGAGGAGGTCCAGGCGGGAGAGGCAGCAGAGAGAGCGGAGCGCAGGGTCGGTCGGACTCGACACTGCAGCAATCTGCGCGCCGTCTTGCTGAAGGCTCTCGCTCCGAGAACTAAGGGGGGGCACTTGTAGCAGCCGCCGCCCTCCCCAGCGAAGGGAGGCCCAGCCCTGAGCCCCAGGCGGCCCAGCGCACAGGAGCGAGAGGGCGGCGGACGGTGCAAAACGCAAAGGGCAGATGCAAAGGGAGGAGGCGGGGCGGAGGAGGTCCAGGTTGGGACGGGGGGAGCGGCAGAGGGGGAGGATGCAAGCTAGGTGCGCTCGCACCATACCTGACGTCCTGCCCTTCCCACCCATCCCTTTCGGTTGCGCTAATGTTGTCTCGATCTGCTGACGCGTGCCATGACGGACCTGGAACTCCAAAAATGGCCTCATTTTGGTATGCGCAGTCGGACAAAATGGAGCTGCGTATATTGGAGGAGGTGGTGGCGGATGAGCAGGAGGATGTGCAGGAGGATGAGCAGGAGGAAAAGGAGGAGGAAAAGAAGGAGGACGAGGACAGACATCAGCAGCAGCAGCAGCAGCAGCAGCAGGAGCTGGAGTGGAAGAAGCGGGAGGATTGAAGAAAGACTCGGATCCAGAAAAGTGCCCCCCGCACTGGGCCGAGAGTACCAGTCTGAACGACGGGAGCAGAGCGCCGATCCTAAAATGAGGCCCGCGTTGCAGCGAGAACACCATGTTGAAACACCGAGAACGTTCCGACTGGAAAACAACGAACACTGGACATAGCAATTCGGACCAGTCCTGTGTACAACAAGAAAACTATACGCGAAGGGGGGCGCGCCTCTCTCCGGGGGAGGCAGTGGAGGAGAACTCGTACTGTGTAAGTGACTACGGGCGGGGGGAGAGGGAGGAGTTGGGGCGGAGGTGGCCGAGGTAGGGGCCGGGGATGAAGAGGGTGGCGGAGGAGGGTGGGGGGAGGGCAGGGGTGGAGGGAGGGGGGGACGATGTGGGGCGGAGGGGGTCAAGGTGGGAGGAGATTGCTGGCTCCCGGTGGCGAGGGCGGGGGAGGAGGACGGTGGCGGTGGCGGAGTGGGAGGAGGACAGGGGTGGAGGTAGGGAGCAGGCGGGCGGAGGAGGTCGAGGTGGAGAGTGATGCCTCTGTGGTGAGGAACAGACCGCCGCCCCCCTCCCCGCCCAGCTCACGACGTGATTTGCCCCGCGGTGGGCGAAAATAGCACCTATGGGTATACTTGCGGGCGCCGGGGGGCGTGATCGCTGGGGCCGACGAGCGGAGCGCGTGCCCCCCTACACGTGCGCATCCACGTCTCCACTCTCCCGCTAGATCGCGTCTTGCGGGTCGTGTACGTCTGAATCGTTGGTTGTTCCGTCCTCCCCCCTTCCCCTGCCCCCCGACGCTGGGGAGGTGAAGGAGGAGGAGACGCGGATGGATAAGGATAACGGATAGGAGGGGGAGAGATGGATGTGGAGAAGAAGCGCCAGATGTGAAGGAGGACGCGGCGGCTGTGGCTTGAGGCAAAGGGTCAGAAGGACAAGGAGCATGGCCGGAAAGAGCAGGAGTGAGAGCGGACGGGAAGATGAAGAGGATATGTGCGGCATCTGCAGCAATAGCAGAAGAGAGCAGGGAGAAGGCAGAGCTTTGGTGTCCCACGGGGGACACATCGAGCTGGAGTCGCCGACACATCGCCGACAGATTGGCGATAGGCCCCCGATCGCTAATCCGCTCGTTCCTGGGTGGGGTCGGCTATCGGGGTCCCATCAGCGATGAAAGGCCGATCGGCAGCGATTGGGGGTCGATGCGTCCCCCCCCTGAGTCTGCCCCCCTTAACGCTGCCCTGGCCATGTCGACCGTACAGGTCGCCGGATGGGTACGCATGGGCTGAATGGGTACCCCGCCGCCGCACGCTACCCGCCCCACTCTTGCAGCGCCGGCTCGCTACGGCAGGTTCGTGTTGTTACGACCCAAGCGCTGGCTTCTGACACCTCGTGGATCGTTCAATCATGAGCGATCGGCGGCTTTCCGATCGACAGATCGTTTCATGTCGGCCGATTCTGGGCCGCTGGCGGCGTTCAACCTTGAATGCCTGCAGCGGAATCGCTGCCGCGTCGGCACGACACGCACATACCGTACCCCTTCCCCGCCCGACCCCCTACCCATCCAGCGCCAGCTGCCGACTGTGGACCAACAAGTACCGATGCTGCTGCGCCCAGGACCTCTCCCGAGGTGCGTTACGACCAGAAATTCGTGGGGACGAGGGCCTCCCAAGATGTCCCAAAATGCGAAGACGAGGCAAGGGTAGTGATATCGATACCTTGCCTCTTCGGGTTTAAGCAGGAGTAGTGCAGATGGATCCGTGGGGAGCGGGAGGTGCAACAGTACTTTCAATACTCGGCGCTTGGATGCAATAGCCTGCGCGCTGGATGCATTAGTAGCGCATGGATGCGCTTGTGTATGCCTGTCCATCTGCAATCGCTGTCGCCCGTGCGCTAGTTCGCGCCCCCATTGCACGCAATAGCACACAACGCAGGCACGATTGCACCTCTCGCCGCCGGACCATCTGCGCCAGACCCGCTGCTCCAGCTCAAACCGGCCCCCCTTTCCTCCTCTGAGGCGTCAGTCGGCCAGGGCCTTCTCGCGGAGCCCCGCGGGCCGTTTCGCAGCTCCCAATCCTGGGCCAGCGGAGGGCGGCACGGGGGGAAACGGCCCCACGGGGCTCCCAGCCCTGGGCCCGCCGGAGGGGACGGGCCGACCCCCGCTCGCGCTCACCCCCGCTGCGTGAGCCCCGAGGGCTGGGTGCAGACCCCTCCCCGGCCGCCGCCCGCCCATCCTGGCCGCGCCCGCCCGCCGCCAGGGCCGAGGGGGCGGCCGCGGCGGGCGCCCGCGCGGGGGAGCGGTCGCTGGGCGTCCTGGCCTCGCCCTTGAGCGCACGGACGTCCTCGGCGGGGAGAGGCAGGGAGGGCAGGGAGAGGGGAGGAGGGGGCCCTTCTCTCCCTCCCTCCCTGCCCTTCCCCTCCCCTCCCCTCCCTGCCACTCCGCTCCCCTCCCCAGTACTCCCCTCCCCCTCCCCTCCCCCCCAGGGGGAGGGAGGAGAGGGGAGGGGAGGGGAGGGGAGGCGAGAGGAGGGGAGAGGAAGGGAGGGGAGGGGAGGGAGGGAAGGGATTGTTCATGCCCGCCCCAAGGATAGCTTCGATTGGCATGAAGCATGCCTGGGAGTGGGCAGCCTTCGCCACAGGTGAACACGGGCAGCGTCTGGAAATTAGTGATCGCGTGCACGGTAGATAGCAGTAAACTGGCAAGTGCATGCATGACCATTCTACTTGTTTGTTCCGAGCCAGCTCGGCTCAAGTTTAGGACTACGCTCGAGGGATGTCCCGCAATGGCCATGGGTCTGGGCCAACGGAGGGGAGGGAAGTGATGAGAAACATCCTGGATGCCTCGCAAGGCAACTTGAGGACCAGTCTACGCCAGCTCCATGTCGGGTTCACGTCGGATTTGCGTTAACTGTACGCCGGAGCGTCGCCGCGCGAACGTCGTCCCATGTCTGACGGGGCGGACGTGTGGACTAGCCAGTACAACTATTGCGCCGCCTTGCGCGAGGCCTCCAAGATGTTCCTCATAAGGGGGAATGGGAGCGAGGGGAGGGGTGTTGTGGTCGTTGTGGGAGGGTACGGGAACACCTCGGGCGAACTGCTGCTTTGCACACCTCCCGTGAAGGTGGGCACACGGCGGGCCGTCTCTCCCTGGGAGAAGGCCCTGGGGGGGGGGGCCTGCAGTCGGATCTCGCCGCCCGCGTTGGGGCCGCGGGGCAAGGCTCGATAAGCGACCCTCGGAGTCAGAGTCCTGGACTGGGCGAGTCGCCACCTGAGGGGAGCCTGTAACCGATTCTTGCCTTGTTAAGGTCGCAGAGCGTGCTCTTCACGCGCGCGTGGATGGCCGTGCAAGGCGATATACCAAGGCTCGGCTGCTGTACTGAAGCGGGGGCGGGGAGGCCAAGACACCTTCTTGGAGCCGCAATTCGGCACCCTTCACGCATTTCGAGCCCCCGGCCCTTTCTCTCTCCTGGATGCTCCCAACCAGCAGATCCTTCAAGCACTTCGAGCAACATAGGCGCTCCTTCAAGCCTCAAATCGGCACACGCCTCTTGCATTTCGTGCCCCCTGGACCTCCAGGGGCGATCCGCTGACCCTCAAATTGGCTGCAACGAAGCCTCAACTCGGCACACCTCACACGCACTTCGTGCCTCCTGGGCTCCTATGGGCCCTCAGCTGACCCCTCGGACGGTTCCAGGGAGCTTCAATTCGATACGCCCCTCACACATTTCGTGGCCCATGAACCCCTCAAGGCCGTCTGCTGGCTCATAAGACCGCCTGCCCCCCGAAGGAACGCCAAGGCGGCCCTGAGAAGAAGTGGACCGAGTGATGCCGACCCTCGTCGAAGCCATACCTCGAACACCCACTGACTGCAAGATCTGCGCGCGAGATTCCCCTTGGGGGGGAGGGGGGACGCCGTGACTCCCGCCCTGCGGGCTCACGGAAGCAGGGCGGCGCAGCGGATCCGATGGGCAACCCCCATGGCACCCGAGAAAGCCCGCAGGCGTCAGGAACTCCGTGTGCGCAGCTCGTTGCCCAACCCATGGCGCGGCCTATGGCGCACAGAGGATCCCACAGACTCGAGAGAGTCTTCGGGCGGGGCCCATAGTGCAAAATATACAGTCGAGCTTCATTGGAGAGGACACGCGAGAGGACGCAAGACCCCTCCGAGGGCCGCATTGCCAGAGGAATGTAGAAGGCATGGGTCGCGAAGCACAGGAGACAAGAGTACCCTTGACCTGGTAGGGTCGACCTGCTGATCAAACTCGCCTGTAACGCCCTGTGTGGCACCCAAAAAAATACCGTCAGCACAGGAGGCTCTGAGGACGAAGCCCATGGCGCAATCCATGCCACCAAAAGGTCCACGCTGGGCCATACCCAACGCTTCTCACCCCAAGCGAGAAAGCATACGGGAAGACACCTTTAGAGACATGCCGCGATGCCATACCCAGTCTTTACCCAGACCAGACAAGAAACCTGCGTGCAACGCAATCACGATTGGAGAATAACGGATCTTGGTACTGTTCGTGACGTCTTTGATGAACATGCGCTCTCATCTGGAACTCAAGAGGAACAAGCCTAAGTGGTGGAATGAACCAAGTTGCTGGACCTGCCGTCGCTAGAATCTCGGGTTGCCCACTGCGAGGTCGATGGGCCCAAAGCATAAGCACCCGGGCCGGGCACTTACCGCATGGGACCAGTCCTCATCTATACTACCCATCCCCCACCTGTCTCCCTCCTTCTCCTCCGCCGCATCATCCTTCTCTCCCTAGTCTTCGCCCCCCTCTCCTTCCTCGCGATCATCCCTGCCCTGCCCTCGGTTCGCCGTCTTTCCCTCCGTCCTCCTTTCCTCCAAGTCCGTCCTCCTCCGTCCCCCCCTCCCTGCCTCCCCGCCCGCTCCTCTCTCACGATCGCGAGGTCCCGCCGGAGCTGGAAGAGCTCCGCCTTGAGGCCGCCCATGTCCTCGTCCGCGTGCAGGTGGGCGAGCGTGTACAGCGCAAGCAGCGCCACGGCGGCTGCTACAAACCCCAGCCCCGCCAGGGGAGCCACCCGCAGGGCGGAGCCGCCATTGCCGCCGATGCTGGCGCGGGCCATGCCCCTCGCAAGCTCCGCCGAGGGGGGCCCCACCTCGAGAGCCCATGCCCCGCAATGAGAGAAGGGACACGGAGGCAAATGCGCACGCGGAATTGGGGGGGGAAACGGACATGGAGGTGGGGAACCAGAACAGCTTGAAGATGAGGAGGCATTCACATAGAAGTATGGAAGCAAGCGGAGGCGTGCTGGTGACGGCGAGACGGCCACGGTACTCGTAAGAGCACTGGGGAGCTTGTTCGCAGTAGCTGTGGTGAGCATGTGCGTGTCGTTACTTGTGACACTGTTTGTCATCGTCATAGCTGTCAAGGGGTTGAAAGACTGATGGTACATTGTGAACATGGACAGGGGTCGAACACAGAAACAGAGACGAACGTGGAAATGCGCATGGTGCGCGCACAAGCCAAATTCTAACATGGACGACACGTTGTGATGCATCGGTGATCGGTGGCAGCTCCGATACGCAAACAGATGCCAACTCTAGAACATGAGACGGGCTAATGGTAGTGGCCCTCCTGGTCGCAGTGTCAGCGTCACAGCTAGGTCATCAACTACGCACGACTGTAGCATTCGTTTCATCAGCAACAGCAATAGCAGCAGCAACGATACTAATTACAACAGTGCTGGATCAGCAGCAGCAGCACCTGTGGCATTAGTGGGACCAGGCGTAGCACTAATTGGTGCGATCGGTATTCTCGAAATCGCTGTAGAGGTGGGGCCTAGACCAATGACAATACCCGCGCCAATGAAAGCCTCGCCGCAGGTAGCACTTATATCTACAGCTAAAACCAGAAGCAATGCTGACAGCGGCAGCCGTGGTATCGCTAGCGGGGGCGACAATGCCGATGTAAGTAGCAGTAGTAGTGGTAACAATATTAGTAGCAGCTGCACTGGTAGCGGTGGTACGACCAGCAGCAGCAGGCTCAACAAACACATTCGCACCATCAATTGTTGCAGAATGTAATGTATGGTCGGAGCGCTAGCCATAAGACGAACACGAGTTCCCAACTGGCCCTGCGGCTGAGGGTCGGCCGTGGGCTCCTATGGCTTCGCTTCCTATGACTTCAGAAAACGGTATTCCTTCGGCGTCCCGCCAGGCTGGCCCTGTGCCGGGGGGGTCGGCCGTGAGCGTTTAGCCTCCTACGGCTTTGTTTGGCTTGACCTTTTATGGCCAGGGATGGGGACGGGGAGGACGGGAGGCGACGACGTAACCGTGATGGTCCGTCCGAACGCCGACCTCGACCTCAGGCCAACGCATGAGCATCGGCTGAGGGAGTGGGTTCCCGCTGGGTGGCGCTTGAGTGTTTTTTTTGGCCTCCCGAGGGGCAACGAAACCCTTTTGCCGCTTCCGCCTCCAGCAAAGCCCGCAAAATGGCGCCCGACGCAGACAAGAAACTATGGAGACCAGGGGGCAGCGGGAGACCTCACCGGCGCTTGCACCTTCAAAGCTGCAAGTGGAGCGAGGTGGGCGGGCCAGCACCAGAAGATGAGTGGAGCGAGAGGAGACCCTCTACCGCTCCATGGCCACCTCCGCCGCACCTCGAATTTCATCGGTGAGTGCTGTGCGAAATCCTTCCCCGTATGAGGCATGTGACAAGCAAGAACGACTGCTTGCAGATACTCCTCGCGCGTGAGCTCCGACCCCGCCCGCCCGTAGTCACCACCCCACCCCAATCCCAGCCAGGTGCGAGGCGAACCAGGAAAGTGACGGCGCTACCAGATGTGATGCATGGCGAGATGGTGGAAGAGTGCAAGAGGCGCGGACAGCGAAGACAATGCGCAATTCCGCCTGGAGCCGCGCAGCCCCAGATGCAGGTGGTGGGAGGGGTGCCGACATGTAAGCGATTTGTGGTTGTCCACGTACCGCAAAATATTTTGAGAACGCTCCATTGCCACGCTGGTTTGCAAGCGTGCCACGCAAGTCTTACAAAGTTCCCACCGCCCGCACACCGACCGTCCACCCCCAGGCATCAGGATCTGCCAGGCCCTGAGACGCTTCCGCAACGCATGTGCGAAGGAGAGGCAGCCGGGCGGAGCGCGCCAGCAAAGATGCGCTGTGGGTGCGGCCTCCGGCCCTTCCGCACGGCCTCGGCAGTGTGCGCGCGTGCTGAGCGAAATGCAGCGTGGTAGCCCTGTCGGTTGGCAAGACGCGGCGGAGGCAAGCGCGCTCACTCCAAAAACTGGGCAATGGAGTATGGTATTTTCCCACAGGCGGCTGAGTTTCTGCCAGCGCAAATGCGAACGATGGTGGCATGGTCCTGGGCATGCTCTCTGAGGCTTTGCAAGGCAGGCTGCCAAACGTGATTCATTGTCCCAAAAGAGGCGCGCCAACTGCTTGCCCAGCCAAGGAACCAAACGGAGGCTGGGGCAACGGCTAAATACGCCGGCGAAGAATTCAGATCGGCGGGGCTGAGGCTGTTCGGCGGCGTTCTGAGCAACGTGTGCAAGGCCTGACGCTCCAGCTTCCGAATCTGGGCAGGGAGGGTGAAAGAGCTGAGCCAGGGGTGGAGAAGGGCCCTTGAATTATAGAGGTTCGCAAGAACACTCGGGGCAGCACCTGAGTGGGGAAGAGCAATAGCGCGGGTCCACCACTTCTCTGCAGCAGGGCCCCGTGTGATACCTACTGCGGCACTGGGCCCCATTTCAATCCCAAGATAGGTGGTGTGGCCCGCGATATTGAAATTTCTCCACGGCGGGGCCCACCGTTAATTACAGATCGAATGAGATCCTACCTTTGATTTCGTCCGTGCAATCAGCCCAGAGAGGGACCAGCACACATTTCGCCCCTTTGAATTTGAGCAGAGCAAAACGCTCGATGCCCGGACAAACTCCTGACGAACACTTTCGCGAGATCCCGTAGGCGAGGCATCACCATGCCAACGTCGTCCGCACAACCCCAAACAGAGCCTTTGCGTTGCCTTGCCTGCGGAATCTGGATGGGCGCGCGCAGGGGGCGCAATATTGGGTCCATCGCTAAAGCCCAAAGCGTTCCTGAGAGAGGACATCCCTGTAAAACGCCTGAGCACAGACGCAAGAAGAAAACTACCGGATTTCGAATCCGAACAAAACCTCTCGGCAGGAAATAGATCGCACAACGAAAATTTAGGACCCCAGGTGGGAGACCGAATCGACCCAGGATCTCGAACGGACATTCGTGGCCCAGGCTCCGGAAGGCCGCCTCCACGTCGTAGGCGGCGAACACTGGGAGGGCCGAGTCCACCTCAGGATTGATGCTGGCATGACGGGCCGCCGCGTCCAGGTGGATGATGTTCGACAGGAAGTTCCTCCCTGGGATGAAACCCTGTTGGTCCTCGTGTGCTTTTTCCTGAGCGATCTTGCGGATCTGGAAAGTGCTGGCATTGGCCATGATTATTGCGTCGGTACTACGAAGGCTGAGGGGTCGGATGGGGACGTGCTAAGGGGACGGCTGGGGGGGGTCCAAAAAGGAGCGGGGGGCTGTGGGGAGCGACCGCGCGATTCGACCCATTCCCTCCCCACGGGTGCCCCTCCCACCGAATCACTCCCCACGGGCGCTCCTCCCCACGGGCGCCGCGGGGCCCCGACGACGACGACGACGACGACGACGACGACGACGACGACGACGACGACGACGACGGCAGCGGCGGCGGCGGCGACGACGACGGAAAAAAAGGGAAGGGGTAAAGGAAAGGAGGGGGAGGAGAAGGAGATGGAGGAGCAGCGGGAGCAGGATAGGGAGGTTGAAAAGGCGTGGTGGGAGGGGAACGGGGAGGAGGAGGAGGAACGAGCAGCAGCCGAGAGGCAGTTGGGTCCCGAGGCGAGCGGGAGGCACGCAAATGCATCCGCACTCCCCCCAGCCCCAGTACAGTGGAGCGCCCGCAGGCAAAGGGTCACCTTACTGGCGCCAGGGGGGAGGGAGGAGGCATTTGCATACCTCAAGAGGGGGAGGGGGAGGAGAAGGAGGAGGGGTTTCCGTCAGCCCCCGAGTGCGCGGCGCGCAGGTGCGCAGATCTCCTGTGGCTCGCGGCTCGCACGCTCCACGAACCTCGAGCCTCGCAGTATGCAATCAATGTGAATTCAATGCAACTAAGCTCGGCCACTGGGCAGCGCCCCTACTGCACCTAGCCCCCCTTGAGCTCCGTCGCAGTTGCCGATTTTACAGCACGGGAGGTGGAGGCGACAGTCCGGTCGCGGCGTGGGGAGACCAACGATGTTCATTTGGGAGTGTATGCTTACATGTATCCACATCTACGTATGCGTATGCTATGTACCCCGCAATTGCGGATAAGAGTAAGGGGGCGGGCGCGGGGTGGGTCGCAGGGCGGGTCGCCACGGCGTTGGCCGCGGGTGGGTCGCGGGAGTGGTTCGCGGGGGCACCGCGGATCCTCACTTCAGCCACGCACCCAGGGACAGTGAATGACCGTTCGGGCCCTCTCACTCTGATGTACATTATCTATTGGTCTCCACCCCGACCGTTAGAGCACCAGCACAGAAAAAACCTAGACCAGGCCCTAGGAAAGGATGTGCTTTGCGAACATCTTGGCGCTCTTCTTGGCCTCTCTCTCTCTCTCTCTCTCTCTCTCTCTCTCTCTCTCTCTCTCTCTCTCTTTCCTCCTTCGTTTTATTTTCTCTTAAACTTATCCTCCCTCCTTCCTCCTGTCTCCTTCCCTCCTCTCCTCTCCGAGCTCTTACCTCCCTCTCCCTCCTTCTCTTCCTCCTCTCTCCTTCTCTCCTCCCCTCTTTCCTCTCCTCCCTCCTGGTCCCTCCTTCACTTCTCATTCCCTCCTCCCTCGTCCCCTCCTTCTTCCCTCCCTCTCCCTCCTCCTCCTCCTCCTCCTCCTCCTCCTCCTCCTCCTCATCCTCCTCTTCCCACGGCCTGGTACTCCTCGGACTTCTTCTCCTCCGCGGCCCTCTTCTTCTGCGAGTTGTGTACGGCCTCGTGAGTGAAGTACTCGCGCACCACCTCGACGTGCTGGATCGGGCACTCCGGGTCCTCACAGCTCTGGGCAATCACCTTCTCGATGTCCACCTGGGGTCGGGGAGGAGGACGGAGGAGGAGGGAGGGCCAGAGGAG